CACTCTCACTCTCACTCTCACTCTCACTCTCACTCTCACTCTCACTCGCGCTCACACTCACACTCACACTCACACTCACACTCACTCTCCCACTCTCACTCTCACTCTCCCACTCTCACTCTCTCTCACTCTCACTCTCACTCTCACTCTCACTCTCACTCTCACCCACACTCACTCACACCCACCTTCACTCTCACTCACTCTCACTCACACTCACACTCAAACTCACTCACTCACCACCACCGCCACCGTTACCACGATCCCCACCTTCAGCACCACCATCACCTCCCTGGACCCCAATGCGTCTAGATCTCTAGACTTTTCTGCTTATAGACCTCACACAAACCGTTTGGGTCTCTTGCCAAGAGAATCTTTTCTTATGAATTACACATGTAACTACTGTTTGTCAAAGATATAAGTACCCCTATATTTTATAAAAGGCCGGCGTAAAGAGAAGAGGACAACCTTGGTTCGACCAGTTATATTTTCTCTATATTTTCAGGTGAAAGGTGATGAAACAAAGGCTCATACAATCTAGTATGTGTTCGTTTGAATGGGTTTCAGGCACAAAATACATCAAAGGCCCTGAATGCTAAACAACAATCCATACACACGATTTATTTTTTGACAACTTGCACCTGGCCAGTTGACATCACGATCAACCCAGACTGAGTCTACCAAGAGAGCGTTTGATTGCATCTCATCCAACCCTGCATTCTTCGTTTGGCTTCTCGAACATCCTCCAAATTGAAACATATTGTGGACAATCTATTCTTGGAGGTTCACCTTTTGGAGCTTCACGCTTGAACTTGTGCTCTGCAGGCTGACTCTGGGGTCCTCCCTTGATGTGGCCCAGAATCAATCAACATCGATGATGTTTTTAGCAATATATATTTAGAAATACTGTAAATTTGCAGACTTCAAAACGCAGCAAAATACTCAGAATTAAACACATATCAAACACGTCCAACAAGCAAATCGACAATTGCCCAAATCCAAAGATAGGTGAACATAATAGAGATCATCATATATAAACCATTCAAACACATAGTGATCATAGAACACCGCCTTTCACCAAATCACCAAAGTTCTGACAAATCATTCTTCGATTTTAAACATGGTATCATTCCCAGCAGTCTACAAAGGGAGCGGTGCAGCTCTAATTGCCGCGGGCGAAACTGGACGGAACGCTCCGGAACGCGCGCTCGCAAGGGGTACTCGCAAGAGGTGCTCGCAAGGTGAGTAGAATTGTGTACAAACACGCAATTGGAGCACGCAAGAATAGATCATTGGAAACAACAAGTAGACAAACCTTGCAAACATAAGACCTTCGAAACGCCTCTCCGGCCACAGTCTCATGCGCTAGAATCATTTATTATGTGTTCACACCCTCTCCTTGCGCACAATGGATCTTTTTACATGTGTTCATCCGCTTCTTGGAGTAAAAGACAGGTGTTTGACATTGTTCTGAAATCTGCGCTAAGCTTCTCTGGCCACAGTCGCTCGAATCTGCACTAAGCCCTCCGGCTGCTCGAGTCATGTGCTGAAATGATTGATGTGTTCACACCCGCTTCTTGCACGTGCTGGAAACTGTTCTGTGTTCATATCCGCTTCTTGGACGAACACAATCTTAAAGTTGAAGTTCGAAAGCGGAGCGAACGACAAACACTTGCTTGCAGAAGGCAAATGGATGCAAAGGCCTGAATTTGTTCTAGCTACAACGGGGCCCAAAAGGTAATGTAAAGTCATCACTGCAGGTACGCCAGACTGATCAGGTCTGGTATCACCACCAATTGCAAGTGTCTTCCTTGGCACGCGTCTTGCAATGGTGCTGCTGCCCCCTGCTTCCAACATGCTTAAGCCACAACCGTCAAAATGGATGTCCGTGACTCCAAGGCTCAAACACACGAGCATGGCGAACATATTATGCAACTGAAGCTGACTCAGGACTTAGTGGGCAAAAGTTTTGAGGACCATATTTTACACCATCAAACAACTAATTCAGCAGAGCAGCTAGCTTTGCTTTGCGGCTTCGCGAAAGTAGTTTGCGAGTTTGATTGCGCATTCCATTGTCTCCATCAATCTCCATCACGGTCCACATGATGTTGAAGATTTGCCTCACATGTTCACATATAATGTTCGTCCCAAGCATCCGGACATGCAAACCTAAGTGCTGTGCACAACGAGCTATACAAACCAACTGAATAAAATGACATGTAAGGACATATCAGGTGCAAAGAGTGTGCGTTTCCTAGCAAACCCAGCATTTCGTTATTTCAAGCCAAACTTTGCCCCTCGTAATGGAATATTCTCCAATCCCTGCCTCCCCTTTCCACACCTCACCAACCCTTTCAATTCGCACTGACCCCCTACACCACCACCCAGTGGAAAATATTGCTAAAAATCCATAGAAACAACTTCCATCCCAGTTGGAGATTGAACGATTGCGGGTTCAGGGTTTTTGTGGACATTTGTAATACTGTAATTGCTCCAAGACTGTGTGACCACAGCGAAACTTGCCAGTTTCCAGCTTTTGCCTTGTTGAGGGCGTAAAGACGCCATCTTGGAGAAAAGGCCTCGTAAGACATTGGTTTTCTGAAAAGGTTCGAAGGTCCAGGTGTTTGAAAGAACATTTTTACTTGTCCTTGCATGAGTCGAAAACGAGTAACTGGTCTTTCAAGGAAGCTACTCGAGTCCTTTATATGTTGGATGAATATTGCACGACAGTATCCGACATTGACATTGATGTTCGGGTCCCTCATCAACGCGCAAGGGTCTTTCAGAGTGACCATCCACATTCTCCCAGTTGGTGGTGCATACAGAAGCAGCGAAGGCAGCGGCAGTGGGGAGTCCTTTGCGGAGGTGCTTTCTCAGGCGTGATCTAAAAGGCACTTTAGGGAAGAACCATATTGTTTTCAAGGCCCCTTGGTCCATGGTGTTTGCATTGGTATACTGTCATTTCACCATCAAACTATTGTGCTTGCCCGGTCGCTGGCTTTCTCGCCTTGGACACTGTGACCCCGATGACGAAAACTGATGTCTGGGCACCATTGATCAAGTCGGTCCTGAGGATCGGGCGATGTGCTTTTTCCCGAAACATGGGGGCGAATCCGATTATATAAGGAATATGATACCAAAAAGGCTTTATCCTGTCTCGATTCCTGCACAGCAAACCCCAGTTCTGGACTGACCAGCTCTTCCCTTCGTGGCTTTGCAGCTTATTTGGGATCGGAAGGTTCTGATAGCCCCAGAGCAAGGGAGCTCCTGAGCATCTTTGCAGTTTCACTTGTGCTGCACCATGGATCCTTCTTCTTTGCCGAAGTACGTTTTCGCGGAGACTTGGATCAAGGGAAGGAGATCAGTTTCGTGGCAGAGAGCCATGCTTGTCCAGTTCCCACCGATATCCTCCCATGCTCCTGCATGTCCCGTTCTGGGGTCGGAGCCGAAGCAAATGAATAACACTCATTTTTTGCAGTCAAGAGTCAAGTGGATCAAAGTGTTGCGACTCTGGTTGCAGGGATTGTCAGGTACACCCAGACGATCTAGGAATCTAGGACGGTTCCATGACCATCAAAGCCCAAATTGGTCTTTAGGTGACCCAAAGAGGAACCTGCTTCAAGACTCTTTGGACTTCCAGGCTTCTAGCGTATATTGGTACCAGTTGTTCATGGTGTGCTCGATTTTAGAATTTTGGGTTCGAGAGTCCAGGGACGCCCGAAAAAAACAGAAACGCCATACAGCGGAATGATCGTTTGTATTCCAATTGGTCTCATGATCTCATGTCAACAGAACTGGCAATTTTGGTTCCAAGAGCCCACATGTGAATGACACCGCAATCTTTTGTTGTACAGTGGTTTCGAAGAATAGATGGCACACACTGACCAGATGGCACACACACTGACCCCAAAAGGTGGTTTAAATGGGCCACCATCTAAAAGTGATTCTTGGGGGTTGTGCCATCCGAAAACACTGTGCCAGTACCGTCCAAGACCCTTTTAAGCTCCCGGAACGCGGTTGGATCGGTAGACAGTAGCTGGGCATGTAGCAGCGAAACACCGATGGTTTTCTGGAGGTGTGTTCTGGAGGGTCAACATACGGTCGAAGCAGCAAGTTAGGCCTTTTGTGGACATGTCTCCCCGAAGAGTTGACGAATCAATTCCACATCAGATATGCCAGATACGCCCAGAGCTGAGTGAGCCGAGTGTGGAAGTGAAACGAAGTGAACTCCACAGATTCATCGACTTGTTCGAGGCCCGTTGAATGTCTGCCTTGCCTTCTCTCGCTTAGCGTTCCTTTTTGTGAATCCTCTTAGAATCCCTTAGAGGGTGTTCCTGTTATTTCTCTGGAAGGTGTCGACCACCCTCATACAATCCGGTATCCGTCCAACCAGTCGGTTTCCAGGTTAATTTTTGTTGGGCGTGTTCAACGCGTTCTTGAAAACATGGGAAAACTCGTACACCCTTGGGCTGTCCTTGATTTGTTGGTCTCAGGAGAAGAATACATTCTTGGAGGTCACTTTGGAGGAGGAGCTTTCGACGTGTCGATGTCGGGAGTCGAAGCTGCCCGCGAAGACGAACCTTCGCGCGCTTTCCACGGTCCCATCATCCCATCTCGTAGCCGTTTTGATGGCTTCGTGTGATGGTTGAGCAGAATGATCGGGGACATGGTGTTGTCATGTTGCGTGGATGCGTGGATGCTTCGGTCAATTTTCAGGGATGATGTCAACAACTTACCGAATGCATTTTCGGGGGTTGATGTCAATCAGTTTTCGGTCAATGTTCAGTTGCTCTTTCATTCAGCAACTGATGTCAACAGATTCAGAAACTGGTGCAGATTCAGAAGCTTGTCTTGCAACGAATCTTCAGTCGGATTTGGCAACCAACTCTATGCGCCTTGTGGAAAAACACCGGGTAATTACCGGCCAGCGCTGGCAGTGGACCAAACATTGCTCTTTCCACTGGAAAAAATGGCAGCATATCTGCTTGGCGGGGTTCTGGAAAATGGGTTGGTCCCCCAAGAGTACAAAACATCTACCCCTCAGACCTCTTGGCAGCGCCCTTGCGCTCCTTGTAGCGCACGGGGGTCTTCCCAGAGATCAGTTTGCAAAGCACCGATCAAGCATAGCAGCATAAACCAACCACTATTCAAGATACCGTTCCGTTGCGGGTATGGTTTTGGACGCTGCTCAAACCGAGCCCCCTTGCCACATCGAAATATGGGAGACATATGGGAATGGGGCAAGCTGGAGCCCTGGTCCACCATGTAACTTAACAGGTCAACCAAGGTATCCTGGTGCCATGACCCACAGCCATATGTGCAAAATAGTGAGACCTCCGAAAAAGGCAACGCCCCCCTGGGTTTGGGTTCGGGAAATACACCGGTCTACCCAGGGGCCATCGAAGGTTTCCCTCTTCAAACATCCACAAGGGTCGAACCCCTCGGCACGTCGAACCCGTCGAACCCGTCGGCGGATCGGTGAGGACTCGATGGTGTTGCCACGGAGGTCCTCATGGTCCTGCGGCGACCACGCACCTCGGAGGCGACACGCCACTCGCAGCCGCTCGCGGCGAGAGGTCCGGAAAGATTCGTGGCGGCTCTTGTGTGGCACTGGAAAGCGATGAAGCAACTGTTGCTTCTGACTTCTGACGCCTCTCATCTTGTTTGGATAAGACTCAGACTTCTGCAAACAGGGTTCTGCAGCCCGTTTGCCGAGTGGTCTACTGATCGTGGTCTGTGATTTGATGGAGGGGAGTCAAACGGAGCGAGTGACCTGCTTGCGCCAAGGAACGGCCTCGTTTGATGTGCGAGCTGGAACGGGAAGAGGCCGAAGGGAAGGGAACAAACTCTGCACCAACATGTTCAACATGGCATGTAGGTTTGTAAGGTTGTCCGGAGGTTTGAAGGGAGCATTCCATCGGAACAGTTCGGTGGGAACACTCCAACTAGCGGGTAGCTAGCCTATTGGAATTTTACTATTACATCCTCCTTACATGTACCCCTATGAAATGCAGATGCCTTGTGCTTACCTGAATATACGTAATACGCCACCTGCATGTATCAAGTAAGGGCTATATTTTTACTTATTACGCCTACTAGCTGTTCTTGTCATTCTTTGTTCCCTTTTTCAATCCGAGTTGCGGTTTCGACATACCTGGAACCTATTGGAGAGATTGTTTTCATGGAGTTGCTTTCATGGAATATTGACTATTTTAGGAACACTTTTTGCATCATTTATATAGGGAATATTTGTGGGTTGCTGGTCCGAAAAAAGCAGTGAGCTATGTTCTGGCTAGGCGATCCATGTTGTAAAGCACCAATGTGGTGAGTATTCATCGGAGGTTATCGGTAGCAACTCAGCTACTGGTGACCCCATTTGGGCCGATGGTTTGGCGAGGGAGTTCGAGCTCCAAGCTGATAACAGAGCTTCTGTGTGAGCATCATTGTTTAGCCTGGCTAGATCTGCTCTCAGACACACTTCAATCAGAATTCCTGATGAATAGTTTTCTGATATTTTCTGGATGTGCTGCATTAATACACTTTCCATCAAATTCTTACAGGATATATATATAGTCTGACAGGACAACCACTTTGGGGTTGATTGGGTTTCCAAGTGCACATTCATCCATACGTCATTGTCCTCTTCCTTACTTCGATTTCCCAACCACTCGCCAAGTTCACCCCGAATCCCAAGAGAGATAATTTTGTGACACATTCTATTCCTCTCACAACCAACCCTTCTTCGAGGAGACTTCAACGTGCGACCACCAGAGTAAAGGAAGTTCCCTTACTAGGAACAAGAAGCTACTAGGGGCTCCTGGCCTTACTACTCCCGTCACTTGCGCTACGTCTGCCGCGCTTCCCGTGGTCCTACACCGTATTGGTGGGTACCAGGGAGTTGGTGAAATATCAGGATGTTAACAAATCTAAAAACTGTACAGAATGACCACCCTCTAACTACGTGAGACCGAATGTCCGCGTGGCACGAAGATGAGTGGGCATGGAATTATGGATTAATTACGAATTGTCTGCAGCCGGGATAGGAACAGAGCCCAGGTCCCCCCGACGATGCCAGGCCTTGCGCAGATTCCTCCGGTATAGGAATGATTGATGAAATGTGAGGTTGATTGCATCAGCGGCTGGGAAATGAGTTTGAACGAATTGCATGGGAACCAGGCCATCAGGATGGTATGGTGGTCTGCAGTGCAAATTTTCCGCATATTTGAGGAGGGTGCGTTGCACTGCACCTGCATTGGGAATTTCAGGACGAAGAGGAAATCCTCCGGTATAAGACCGACCCCATCCAACTTTGGTGAGACTGAGGGAACCTGTTTTAGAGTATGCTGGCAACAGAGGCGTACTGGAGTAACCTTGAAGGTAAAGTACAATGGTACGAAATGCTTCCGCTTGTGCACGGAGTGATCGACGAGGCACCGGAAGGGCGAGAACGCGAGGATCTTGCCAATGAAGCGGCTTAGCACGAGTAGAGGTGTCAAGACGGACCCAAGTAGGGAATTGAAGACCTGTGTTCACGATAAATGCAATGGCAAGTTCATGCCAAGTGATTCCGTCGGTGATTAGGTTGTCCGTGAATTGATTGTCAGGGGATGGCCATTGTAGAGAGGCGCAAAAACGAAGCACCAAGTCAGCATACTGGTTTCCCCAAACACAGGCGGTGATGAACGCGGGATGAATCTCAGGTTGGTAGAGCATAGCAGGAGGTGGAACACGATATCGTTCACGTGCACGAAAGATAGTACCCCAGTCTGTGTGAAGATCTGCTGAGGGTCCTGTTGAAGTACGCTGGGTCTGTGCCTGTTTGAGTTGTGTATGATGCAAGTTTAAGGCAGCAAGGTACTCTAAAATACAGCGTGTCTGAGTATACTGGTCATTATGCCACAACTGTGCATCCCGAAAAAGAGAATCAACAACTGGATGATCCGTCTGTCGAGCCCGGACGGCTGCCGTGTCCGCCCACGAGTTTCCCAATGCATCCTCTCGAGCAGTACCAGGGGGCATTTGCGCGATATCCTGATGAGAACGAACTTTACGCAGGATGAATTTTGAAGGCTGCCAATAATCCGCTATCAATTGCAGAAGGTCTGCATTAGCTAGCCGATGCCACGAGGGAAAAGCATGTGGTCGAGTCACTTGATGGATAGTATTTATAACATACTGAGAATCCGTGGTAATAACGAGGGTATGCGGCCAGTGTTGTTCAGAGGCGTGGCGAACTATCCAAGTGACGGCAGCAAGTTCCGCCCGGGCAATGGATTGAATACCTTGAACATGCTGAATTTTGATCGTAATATACGGGGTGGGAGAGGAATCTGGCAGGAATTGGATAACTGACCAAGCAGCTCGTCGAGTTTCTGGATTAAGAGGGGTATCTGCTGAGCTATCGGTAAAGAAGTAAAGGATGTTGTCGGTTTGATGAATGGAGGTGTGGCTAGTATCAGAGCCTCGATATGCCAACAACTGGCGCAGCTCAGCCATCTTGGGGAATGAGACTGGCAATGGCAGCCAGAGTTTATGTGGATTGTGTGTTAAATACGTAACGGCCTGTGGATGTTTCTGACGAATGAATGCAAATGCAGGACACTGGAGTTGTTGATGGGCATGGGTGTCTATGGCGTCGCAAAAAGGGCATTGAGCAGTCACTGTAGAGGTCCATAGGGCTTTGACCGCTCCCACTTGATACCCCCCCCGTAAGATTATAGGCGATCTGCCGCAGAGCTGTGACTGACAATGTTCGCAGAACCCGAGACAAAATCGTGAAATCAAATGGGTGGTCGGTCACACCTTTGCGATGGCAGATTTGTCTATTAATTTGGTAGGACCATGCATGTCGGAGTGTCTGACGAATTTGGCGAAGGGATGCTTGTCGGATGGAGACTGAGAGGTAACCGTCTAATGTCAGGTGTCCATTGCAATCCAACGACCATCCAACCATGTTTAAGTATCTTGCTAGAGCGCCCGCTGGGCCAATCACGGCACCTGTATGATGGACGACGGCATTGAGGAACTTGGTAGCAAGACTCGAGTTGTGGTGAAAAAGGCGACGTAAGAATGTGAGGGCGGTGGATATCACATAAAGCAGTGGATCTTGCAGTTGAGGAGAGAAGGCATGGACGGCGAGCCAACTAGAGACTTGGGATTCCGGTCCCACAAGGGCAATGGCCGCTTCACGGCGGAGTGTGCGAAAGTGCTGTTCCCCCACGATCTGAGTTTCAGCCCCAAAGAATGCGTGGGGCCATACCGCTGTCTGAATGAAGCGTGCCTTTTGGAGGAGGTCTGTCTGGAACCGTCGAATCCGTTTGCATCTCTGGATCGCACTGCTGATCTTTGTTTTCAAGTGACCTAGAGTGATGTGTCGTGTGTAATGTGTCATGCATCCAAGATCTTTTGTAGAGTTAAGGATCGGGATCGTATTGTCATCGGAGAATTCAATTTGCAAGAATTCCTGCCATTCCCGACGGGCGTCTGCCGTAGCACCCCACACCCATGATTTCGCATAATCGATAGACATGCGAAGGCTGGACACAAGTTGTTGAACCTTAGCAAATGCTTGAATATTATCTCGTTGGTTTGTTGTTAAGTAGGACCAGTTGTCGGCATAAGCATATGGAAAGACCGTGGGCGTGTGAAGAGTCCAGTAAAAGGCGGATGACACGACAAGCATAGCGCAGACTGACAGGCTGTCACCTTCGGGAACACCGGTGGTCATGTGGATGGGGGGGCCGACATTGTTACGAACCTGCAGGCGTCTGGTCAGCCGACGTAAATTCATAAACCAAAATTGAACTGAGTCGGGGGGAGCCCCATGGTGAACGAGGAGATGAAAGATAACTCGGCGTGGGAGCAAATTAAAGGCTTTGATTAAATCGAGGGTGAAGCCACGCCAGGGCAGGGACTGCTTTTTGGCAGATTCAATCTGAAACTGCTGTAAAAATGTAATGTCCTGGACTCCTCGGAATGGCAATCCCCCAGATATGGCACTTGGCCAAGTTTGTGCCCACTGGCTTAACAGCTGATCAGCGATGATTTTAGAAGTGAGGCGGCTGATATAACCCATGATAGTGATGGGACGGCCATCAGTGATGGAGGTTGCTGGATTGCGTTTGGCCAAAAGGATTACGCGAGCAATGAGATGATGTGCCGAGAGGCCTTGTGGCCAGATATTTGCGAAAATATGGGCTAAATCAAGAATGGCTTCGAAAGGTAGTGCTTGAAGTTCCTCGGCTCGCCAGCCGTCTATGCCCACGGCTTTATAGGGTTTAAGACGACGTATGGTCTGTGCGACAATGTGCGGGTCTGCCCAATGGACTGGAAGAGTGGCGGTGGGGGGTATGCGAGTTGTCAATGAGTGCAGCGTCTCTTGCCAGGGTTCATCCTGTTCTTCTTCGACTGAGGTGTCGCGACTCCAGAACTGAGACCAGTAGTCATGGAAGGGTGCGGCCATTTCATCGAGTTCAAATGCATACTTATCTTGACGAAGGGTGTCGTGGGTAGGTGCTACGCCTTCAAGGATCTGACAGGACAGGACGTGATCATGCTGTTCCATAATTCGCAAAGTCGCCGCTCCGAAGCGGGCTGCTGCAAAAAGACGAAACTGGACTGGTTGGTGAATAGTGAGACGAAGTAACCCTTTTTGCGAACGATGCATGGTTGCTAGGGCCTGAATCTGGACGGGGAAGCCCGGAAGGATCTTGTCTTCATGGGCTTTAAGTCGTTGATAAAATTGAGAATGAGACTTAAACTTTGCATCAAGTTCCATGCCATGTTTATGGGACGACCTGCGAAGCCTGGCCTCTTGATGACAGTAC